CTTTGTAGCCAAGAACCGGATAGTAGGAAGACCTTCAAACCTTCCCAACGGAATGACTGAAATACAGACTCCCCTTCTCTGCTGTGTGTGTCTCTTCAGATACATAGATCTATTGTAGATATTAGTCTAGATATGATCGCTAATGTACACAGTATTTAAGACTCTACATTTAGAGATTTCCTAAGTATTTTATTTTATTTTCTCTGTAAATGGTTTTGTATAATCTTTAAAAATCTACACTTGGCCTTTGTAGATGTGGAAGGGAAGCCACTTGGGGGGGTTGTCTCTGCATGTATATTTTTGTTGTAGATAAGTGTCGCTTAGTTATTCCTGCAAATTTCAGTTGAAATGCTTACAGACTTTAATACAGTATATATTTTCAGAATATAAACTTTTATATTTCTGTGGTAAGTTAGGATATGCGTTCTAGGCAATCTTTTCCATTCCTATCACTGATTCTATCAAACGATCGCATACTGGTTTGGTGCCAATAGCTGTGTGTTTTGTTTTTAATTTTTCCCCCCATCAGAATCTAATGCTCTTCTATTACGAGAGAGCAGGTTCATTTTCTTCGTCATCGTCTTCTTCAATTGAGTTTGAAGTATAATTTGAAAACATTGATTTTTGTGAATAAGCCTTACCATTAGTATCGGTAAATTTTCCAACCTTTTGCAACAACGTATTTAATTTGAGATCTCCCCAGAAGGTCTCACTGTGCGGCAGTTGGTGATGTTTGTGAATAGAGCCTTAAGCTTGTTGCAAAACAAAGCAAAAAAAAAAGAGAGAGAGTATAAAAGGTAATACGGGTGTTTCTTCTCAGCCACGTTGGCCAGGTTGAGAGGACTCAAAAGGAGTCAGAACTCATGGCTGATGGGTAGTTTGGTTGAGTCGATGGCAGCCAGGGTCACAAAGATACTTTGGGTATTGTAAGAATGGCTCAAAGACTGGTTTTCCAGAGCCACCTGTGTTCTGTCCACCGAGTTTAGAGATGGGGGCAGAGAGGGCTGCCGGTCCATCGCTTGTTCTGAACAAAGGGCGCTTTCTGTTCCTGGCTCCTGGCCTTGGCAGTTGCTTGATGGGCTGACTCGAAGGCCTCCAGGCTGGTCAAGGATGGCCCTCATGGAGAGATGCCCACAGGGTTTACATAGGAGCCTCATGGTGTAGACAATCTGAAGTTGAGTTCAGTCCCACGGCCGGCAGCAGCCCTGCGTGTCCTCGGCGTGTCTCGCTGGTGGACCGTGCATGAGAAGCCATAGCAACCCGGAGGTTAGCAGGGGAAGGAGGACGAGATGCCGATGGACACACAGCAGCGGGGCTGTTTGCACAGTGTGTGTGTTGTGGAATTGCCACAGTGGGCCCGCTGTGTCTGGTAGCTAAAGAATCCACAAGAGATTGAATTTCATTAAAACATTTTTTTTAAAGAAATGATTCATTTTTGGTAGTCACCAACCGATGCCCCTTCCCCTTCCCTGCTCAGTACCGAGCCTCTTGACCCCAGAGCTAAGAGGACAGCCCGGTCAAGTTTACCTAGTGGCATCCCTTCTCGCAAGTGGTCAAGACGTCCCCTTGTTGGCAGTGTGCAGAGCGGTTTGCTGGCCGTTTCTCCCGTGTGTATGACAGCCAGAAAGTTTAACACGTCTGGTTTTGAGTTCCAGCTCTGGATTCCCGATGGGTTGGCCAAACTTCCTGGAACGCAGTCAGGCGACTCTGGGCAGCAGGGAGAGAGTGGTGTCCTCCACCTCATGTTTAGTTTGTCCCCAGGCCATTAGGCCCCACGTTGTCATTTGCTGACTCCCATGTTGACAGGATTGTGAAGCTGTTGCCTTTCATACCAAAGAATTCCATTATTCCAACAAAGCACGAGTTTCATGGATGGTGGGCACATCTCTACAAGAGATAGGCATGTTTTGTAGCACAGAGAACCCGCTCATTCCCCACAACCTCACTCTCCCCTAGCTGGCCACACGGTGGGGGTTGGGGGTGGGGAGTCATTGTCACCTTGAGAGAGAAGACTTTCCAGTTTCAGGTGGGTGCTACCTGCTGGGCAGTCTCAGCTTGTACCCAGGCCGTACAAAGTGGGTGGAGGGCCAGCGTCGATGGCGTGGCCCACTTCGGTCATTTGACTCAGGGCCTCCAGGGTGAGTTTTTTCCAGATGGGTCTATGCTGAGCGGCGGGATCAGGCGATTGTTCTCCCTTTTGTTCTGCACCGGCCATTGCGTCCCCCACCTGGCGTGAGAAGACCCTCTCACCCCGATGGTGCTCATTTGTCACTCACAATGTCGTCATTGGTTACTTCAGTGACCGGCTAAGAAATGATGGATGCTGAAAAAGTTGTATTCTATTGGTAAGGCTTATTACCAAACTTCTGATAATGAAGCAGGCTACCAAAAATATAAAATAACAAAAATGATAAAAGAAAGAAAAGACCCCCCCCCCCCCAAAAAAAAAAAAAACACACACAAAAGAACTTGCCCCGCCCTCCCTTGGAGAGTTTGGATCTGATTGTGGATGTAGGGTGCACACCGAGAACCACAGAGTCCCTTGAAAATTAGGCTACTTGCTTTCGGTTTCGGTTTTGGTTTTGCCCGATCATCTTGGGAGAGTCTTTAACTAGTTCTGAATATTTGTAAGTAAGGGTACTTCGTAGGATTTTCACGCAGGTACCGCTCACCCTTTCTCCCGCCTTGTAAATATTTCCCGAGACTTGGGTGCAGTACTGAGGGGTACTGATCTTCTGACTTATCAAATGCTGACTGTCTAGAGCAAATTGTTAACACTCTCTTTGTGAATGGTCCTGTAACGTGTATGAACACATTTCTGGGTGCCTTAGAAGTTGTATTTTTCATGTGTGCTAATATGCAGTATTTATACATTGTGAGAGGCTGCTTTGAATAAAAAGGTTGAAATCTCCCCTCTGCTTGCTGGTGTATCCCCGCCCCCGCCCCCTCTTTCTGTAGCCCTCGTGAGGTTTGCCAGCAGGTGCTGGGGGTTCCAAGCTAGGAGTTTCTAGTGTCTTCTGGGAGGTGAGGCACCCAAGACTTCGCGATTGGGTCTCCTTCTTGGAGAGCAGACACCCCCACCCACACTTGGCCTGAGGCTTCCATTATTCTGGCTGGCAGTTGCTTGATGCTAGAAGACCCTAGAACTGGGGCTCAGGAGTTGATTTCCATTGGGAGTCGATCTTAGCATTTGTGCCTTCCTGGCTACCCTAGGCTGGCTCCTTGCCCCAGGGGTTCTCCTCCTCACTGCAGACAGGCCTCCTCTGACCTCTGCCATCCCAGCTCCCATGCTTGCCTCAGAAGGATACTTGTCCCCATGGAGTCGGTCAGGGCCCTACACAGACCTGGTTTCATGGTTTCTGATCGTCGCAGTGCAGGTGGCTATAGGAAAAGTGCACTCAGGGAACCACTCGCTTCCAGAGCCTGGCTTCAGAGACATGGGCTATAGGACAGGAGGAAAGGGTCTTCCAGGGGCTTGTGGCAGCAGGGCATTCTGGGAAAGTGATGTGCTCCAGGCCAGCCAGCCCGTCAGCCCTTCAGTGACCCAGGGTCCCTGCTCTGTATCAGGCGCTGCGCTAGGTGCAGGCATACTGAGCCTTAGTCCCTCCGTGGAGTCTAGTTTCATGGGACAGAAGGAGGTGACCCTGCCCTGACTGACCTTGCCACGTTCCAAGGGGCGAGCAGCCACAACGCAGCACTTTGCACACAATCACAAGCACACTTGGGGGATGGGGACGGGCGGGGGTGTTAGGAGAGAGGGCACGAGAGTTGTTTGTATTCCATTGGCTCACCCTTCCATCCACGTGGGCCAACCGGATCTGGATGAGCCGTAGGACTTCACTGCCAGCCTCCCCTTGCTTGTCCTTTCCATTCTGTGCACACCGTTCTGTGTGCCTCTGTCCGTCCTCCAAGGTCTGCATTCCAGCCGAATGAGAGCCCTTGGTTTCTAGCTTCTCCCGGTCCTTCAAGTCCATTGGATGGGGTGCTGCAGCTGGAACGCCTGTAGCAAGCTCCCGTTATGTGGACCCTCTCTCGTCGGCTCATTTTGATTGCAGCACTGAAAGAGCCCTTCCCCAGTAGAGGGAGGAGGAGGTGGCCCCTGAATCTCCTAGGCATGTGATGCCGTGTTAGGTTGGGCTCTCTTGGGAAGCAAAACCAGGGTTGCTTGCAGGTGCCTGTTGAGACAAAGGCATGCACAGTTGTAGACATTGGTGAGTCCTGTCCAGTTCAAGTCCGATGATTGGTAAGTTGTGTTAGTCTGAGTAGACTAGAGCAACAAAACCATGGACACACATGTGTATAAGAGATTTATATACAAGAACAATTGGAACATTGAGAAAACATTCCAGCCCAGTCCAGATCCAGTCCATAAGCCTGATACTATCCGTTTTTTGTCCGATAGCATCTATAAAGTCCTCTTCAGATTCCTGAAGCACATGCAATGACGCTGAATGTAGAAGATCACAGGCCGGTGGGTAGAAAGTCCTTGGATCCAGTGTCATTGGAAACATCTCAGCACTGGCAGGGGTCTTTGCATCAGGGTGGGTCCATGTTAGCTGCTGTGTCTCGCAGGGTGTGAGCAGAGAATCTCCCACCTCCAAGGAGGAAATAGCAGATTTCCCAGAATTCTCAGGAGAAGGCCATGCACACACAGAAGCCTCGTTGGCCATGATCCGATTGACAGACTAGCCTCCACCCCTTTGCTCATAATAATCCTCTCAAATTGACAATTAACGTAACTACCACATAAGTCCTATCCAGTTCAAGTTAAGTCTGGCT